AATGAGACCTACTGACCAGTACTGTTATGCAAGTGGTTTTGCTTATTAGGCTTAAGAGTTTCAGGGTTTCAATAACTTTTCCCATAGGCAGCTGCCAATGGTGTAATAAGCCGCTGTGACCAGAAAAGGAGCAGTGAAGCGACACCCAAACAAGAGAGTGTGCACTCAGGCTAGACAATCTATGGTAAGAGGTCTTGTGGGCAGCGGTACACCACCAGCAACTAGCTTTTACTGAAATTTTAATTTTTCTGCAGAGATAGACAGGTGACAGTGGATAGCTTATACTGACCTTTCGAACCACATACCGCCATTGTTAGAAGACTGTTGGACTTGTGCAGCTCGCGTAGACAAGCTTTTCCAGCGTGATCTCTTATGACAGAAAGCTCTTTCAGAATAACAGCCTAACAAGAGTACACACCACAAAAACAAAAGATAAAATTCTCCTTAAAGATAATGATGTGGTTGTGGTGAACATCCAAGTGAATGATGATTTTAGATATATGAAAATTCATATATTTGCACTGCGGTGGAGAGCAACTACTCGTTTCAGTAGTGTTCTTAGCTGCGAGGATCTCTTAATTTCATCTCTCCACCGCAGTGCAAATATATGAATTTTCATATATCTAAAATCATCATTCACTTGGATGTTTATTTGTACCCAATTCATTGACCAGCTCCCAGTTGGCTTGTTAGCTCAATTGGTAGAGCGCTGCACCGGTATCGCAGAGGTCATGGGTTCAAATCCCGTATGGGCCTGAATTTTTTCAGGTCCAATTTACAACTACTCGTTTCAGTAGTGTTCTTAGCTGCGAGGATCTCTTAATTTCATCTCTCCACCGCAGTGCAAATATATGAATTTTCATATATCTAAAATCATCATTAAATCGTAGTCACTTTAGATCGGGCGCAAAGTTGCAGTGTACATCATTCATCGATCAAGTTTGTTTTTATCATCACATACCTCAAGAGTATCGTCTGCGCTACACCCTGGCTGTGTTTGCAACTTGCCTCCTTTAAAACCCTGAATGAAGCTGTCGCACTTGGAGTAACTAAAAAACCATAATAAATTACAAGAAAAAAAACTGTAAGAGTGGGTTGGATGCATACAGCGGAAGCTTAACCATGGAATACTTGAATGGAGCTTTGCCATCATGATGGGATATCGAATGATGGTTCTAGGATACAGTTGGTCTTCCCCAGTCCTTCTTTTTGCGCGAAAGAAAGACAAGGAAAGTTAAGTTTGAAAGTTGTAATACACATACCCGTTATCGAGAAGTTCATCCTTTGCCTGCTGAAGTCCGTGGCCAGGCGTGACGTCACCAATACCAATAGAAAACCCTCTGTTACCTATGAAAAAATTACTTCAGCACATTTTCATTATTTTTATCTAAAAGGTTAACCATTATGACGGCAGAGGTTTCATATATCAGCGTTAAGATTAATTTGAGCCAAAAGGAGTTATGTTTTTAATACATTTTTCTGTAGCAAACCCATGCAGGCTCTTTGGTCGCTAATTTCAGGTCGGATTGGAATGTCAAATTTTGGATTTGGGAGGAGGAGGGAGACCGAAGAACTTAAAGGAAACCAAGTATGGAAGTCGAACCGGAGCCACAACAATAGAGGGCTTGTACTCTAATAACGCTCCAACCCTGCTCCACGAATTGACAAAACAACACCTTTTCAGTCACCGATTGACATTTAACAAATTAATTATGGTGTTGCGTGCGAAGAGAAAATGTCATGTTTAACTGGCAAATATTTATGGTTATTCAATAGCCTTGTTATGCTCATCTACTACTCACTCAGGTAGAATGAACAAACCCTTGCTACTCTCCACATGGCATCTGCGGCAGCCTGTAAAGAGCATCAAAATGTTAACTCTCCAAACTCCAAACCCTCTTCCTTTCATTTCGTTATCTAAGAGTCGGATGATTTAGTGTCACATCAAGGCAGTCTCCTTTATTTAATAGCTTTAAAGCTATATACAAGCAATACAATTAGCGGATGCTTCACTCAATCTGGAGAGAGGAGGGTGGGGGGGGGGGGTCGTCAATCGACGCTAACACAGAGTAAATGGGGGACTAAAAAAATCGACAGTTAATGAGAGGGGGTCATTAGAATACTACAGAGCCTTGTTAAATAATGTGAAGCATCACAATTCTCTAACCCAGCTACGCCCCCCTAAAGATCGGTCCCTTGTTGCTAGGTAACAGTAGTGAAAGAAATTACTGCAGTTACCTGACCACCGAAGTCTCTGAGGAGCACATAGAAGATACTGTTCTTACAGCCAGAACCCAGCACAGCTTTATCCAGCGCACCACACATCAACTCACTGTTGTGAATCACCACATCTGCCCATGAAAAAGAAACATGTGCGACGTTCACGCTTTTCAACAAATTCTCAGACGAGACTGGATCAAATAACTGCCTGAGCTTATCCGATTTCCTTCAGCGTGAAGTGAAAAAGAATTTTGTCCCTAATGGAATGTCAGTTCACTACAGATCAAGTCTGACAGTCCACTGATACCCATTCCTACTCCTGGATGGAGAGAGGCACTGAGACAAGCACTGTTATCCATCTCACCTGACCCACAGCCCCACCAATTCCCCTCCCCCCCCCCCTAAATTTTGTAAGGTTTCCAGAACCCATTTCTCCTCCTGGGTGGAGAGAGGCACTGTGAAAGGTTAACTGTTTAGTCTAAGAACACAAAACAATGAAACAACCGAGACTTGAATCCAGTTTTTCCACTGGGGACTCCTAACAAAGCTTAGAAGGTTAAACTTTTCAATCCCCACATCTAAACATCAATTCTCCCAACTGTCCTTCGTACATTTCTTTTAATTTCTGTTTTGAGAGTTTGGTGTTAATCAAAACAAGCCCTCCTGATAATAATTTTTTTTCTTCTTATCACCTTTGTGCTTGAGAATGTATTGATAATGAAAGAAGAAATTCCTCTTTTTGTCTCTGATGGGAGTCAGAAGGTTTAACCGTAACGCAAGTTCACTTACAAGAGTCTTTAAAACAAAGATCCTCTCCGCTCGTGTACTGTTTTCCTTTGGTGCGAAGATTCAATTTGATTCCCATGTCCTTGTTCGGTCTCAGTATGACATTAAATACCTGCTTTCCAGTCCACAATTTCACTGGCTGCCAAATGAACAAATTCAAACCATGCATTTTTTTATAACAAAGTAGTAAATTTCTAATGAACCTGTCGTGCTGAGTCAGTAGGCAAGTGAAATGAGTACCTTATCATCAACTAGATGTTGATAAATAAAGATAACCTGCCACATTTAATTTTGAAAAGCCACAGTTTAGGTTGTTAACCCTTCACTGGAGAAAATTTGAACTCCAACTCCTACTGACAGTTGTTAAACACTAAGTATTATTTTAGACTTTCTATTTACTCACTCTTTTTCACTTTGTTCATACTTGTACACCCTTATAAGTAACTTGTACTTTAGAACTAGGAAGACATCACGCAATGCTCCCTGAAGTGTACGCACTGCGAACCATCCCAAAGAACAGCTGTCGGGCGGGGACTACATTAACAATGCAGGTGATAGGGTTTTCTTCTCAAGCGCATTTGCTTCCCTAGAAATTCCCTTAAACCCTATCTTATTTTCATGGTTCGTGTTCTTGTCAACTCATCTGCTCTAGATAGCAAATCTCGTCTTTAAAAAGTTTTTATTAAAACTGGCATGCTGGCGTTTGGACTGCGGAAATTGTCGAGGAAAAGCTTATCACTGTCGCGCAAAAAAAAAAACAGAGACTAAAGATAAATGACATGTTGTTGGAGAACCTTTTTGGTTCCAGTGCGGTTTCTTACTTGTCTTTAAAAAAACACTAACCAACTCGTGAACGATACTCTCACCTTAAGTATTACTGGAGGCGGAAGATTGATTTTGATGTTCACGTCTTTCCCAGCCAGGATATTGGCCAACAGCTGTGAGATTTGGCTCCGATCAAGGAAGACATCTTTCTGTGTCAGCAGATAAGCCCCTGGAACAGCACGGAAATTAAAAGGTAGACAATGAGTTTCCAAGCACTCACCAATAAAATTCTGTTGCGGGAGTTAAATCGATCAAGAATTCGGGCTCCAACCAGCGTTGCCTTCCTTTGCTATACAACTCGTTGATCCAGAGTGACCCGAGTAACCCGATGGAACCCGACCATCCGTGGGTCTCGGGTATCCCAGCGTCCCGAGCAGCTTATCCTTTGTTTAGAGAAATGTATAACTGACGAAGTTGACTAGGCGCGCTTAAAGTAACTTTATTCTTTCGCCCTTGAATTCCTGCATCGTAAAAAAATAAAACAGAAACCGTGTTGGTAGGTATACTCCACAACTTATATTTATTTTTCACACCTGTAATAAAATCCTGTATGGGCGCTACGAGAGGTTCTCCATTCCGTGGCGTTACTAAATTCGATTTGACCTGAGGAACAAAGAAAAAAACTTTATCAATTGATGAATTCTCTGATCTCTGGAAATTTTTAGCGAATAAAGTCAAGGCAATGGCGCTTTTGACCATATCACACAAATTCTTTGAAAAAAAAGGCGTATCTACCCATGCTCAGGCACTTGTAAAGGCAAAATGTAGGAAGAGTCTTCATGAGGTTTTCAAACTCGTGTAACGATAAAAATCTGTGCACATGCCTCTTCCATCCGATGCCAGACGCTTACAATTTCGAACCCTCTTCTCCGATATAGAACATTCATGCTCGATTTGGGATTTAGCTCATTAATCAAAATCATTTCATTTAACACCTCGGCCGCATGTCTGAACTTCGCTTCTCGAAACTTTTGTCGCCTGTAACCCCTACCCCTTCCCCTGCCGTGACCCAGGAATTTACTATCGGATGGTCTCTATAACATCCCATATACGTGCGTTTCATTAAGTTCTGAGATTCACATATGTATTTATTGCATCTACCCCCATAAGTGTCAGCGCTTCAGCTTTAGCTTCCTCTGTCTGTGGCAAATGAATATTCATTTCATCGCCGTCGAAGTCTGCATTGTAAGGGGTGCATACAAACTCATTCAGAGAGAATGTTAGTTGTGGTCTCACAACCGCCTACAATGGAAGAGAAAACAGAATCACCATGTAACTAAATGGAATACCTCAGGCAAAATCAGCATCCAAAACCAACCAGATCTTATGTTAACTCACTGAAACATCATTCTCCTCAGTTTCAGTTCTGCACATTGAGGTCCCTCACCTTTGTTTGTTCCATCTTTTTTATGTTTTTTTGGGTTTTTGTCCCCGTGCCTTTCTAAGTTGACATCGTAGTTAATTCTTCGAGTGGTGGGTTATTCATAAAAATTTAAGTCTTTCAAGCCTATACGCCTCTTCCTGAAAAACTTCAACTATCATATGAGACGACCAAGAGTGCTTCACAACCTCCTGAACATGACGGTAATCTTTCGCAGGAGACTCCCGATAATACGTCAAGTTTTCCTGAGGCACCGTGAGAGGCACTTGTCACAAATAGTGCAGGTGTTTTTTCAATTGTTTGTTTTTAGTCGTGGAAGAAATAAAAAGTAGGCACGAACCAATTTTCTGAAAAAAAATCAGGGTAGGACGAGGATGCGCTTGAGCCGAATGCGTTGTCTAGAATGTCTCTAGCAAACTGATTAAAAAGAAATGAGAGGAGATGTTACGGTTTGATCACTTAACAAACCTGATGAGCCATGATGCTACACTTGTGAAATGAGGGTTGTCTGTTCATCAGTACTAAATCTCCATCCATCAGATGTCTTTCAACGATATCTCCATACTGAAGAGGACAACAAAATCACAACATGAAACATTTACCTTCTCCTGAGACAAGTTTCAAAACTGAGTACTGAAAGTAACCTCGCATCGCTTCACTTGAGAAAACTCATACCAAGCTCTCGACCAAGAGACAAAGCTAAAACCAAACTACTTTAAGAAGCTATTATTTTAAAGCTTATCTTAAAGTACAGAAAGCTTAGCTTAAGTACAGAAAGACATCAAATTTGAAAACTTGTATACCTTCAATTCCTTGATGATCTGTTTTGTGTCGCCGTACTTGAGAAATCTGGACGAAAATCAACCAAAACAAGTAAGCGATCAGGGACCATTTGTTCTGTACTAAATATGGGTCCCAGGCCACTTAAAGGGGAGAGACGTGGCCCCTGGTGAAACATCACCTCTGTAAAAGCCTTTTCTGTTCACACACCTTCTAGTTTCTCTAAGATCATAGTCTAACACACGAATGCAAAAGAGTAGAAAGGGATTAAAAATTCAAACACAAAAGTGTGAAAGTCTTACTGAACTTAAGAGAACGACTTTCTACAGTCACTAAAATCTAGTTCATTTAATAACGGCAAGCAAAGCGTGTGCGAGAGTTCTGTGAGAGGTCAGGTACGACCGTGCCTCCCAGTCTTCTCGCGCACTCGAATCGCTCGCCGGCTCGAAAATCGCGAGCTTGGCCGCTCCTGTTGCAACGCCATCGAAAGCCTGCTTGCATGCTACGCAATGAATCAAATGAAGATAGAATCAGCTCACTTTCTGATGTTTGTTTGCCGTTGCTGAATGTAGTTGGCTCCTGGATGTTTGTCAACTCCATTCAATATCAGCTGCTTCATCAGTTGTATGTTGGCCTCTGTCACCTATGAGAATAATACAAAACTTTGCAGCAAAAAAAATATGAAGATCTTGACTGACTGCAAAAACAATCCTACATTTCCCAGCTTATGTGACTGGTGTTACACGGACGATAAGAGGATAGAACAATTTTCAATTGAATGTCAAAAAGTAATCCAGGACTGCATTGGTTTTCCTGTCCTTTACTATGAGCAAAATCAAAACCCAACGGTACTTAGTCTTTTGAGTTTCCAACACTTAAGGCATTTGCGAACAACTTTTATTTACAGCAATCAAAGTGAGCTGTAATAGAGCGCTTTTCGATTGAGTGTATTAAAACCAAAACCAAAGCAATCACAACAGCCAATCAGAAAAGGAAAATATCTTTAAGAGCCAATGAGAACTCAAAATAAAAACAAAGAAACTGCCTGAAGCGCGGGAAAACAAGGGCGACCAAGTCGTGATTGGTTTTAGTTTTGTGTCTGACTGGTTCAGAAAGTTGTGCGAGTTTTCTGGACCAACCACATAGCAAAGTACGGAAAATCCAATACAATCTTGGATTACTATCGAGATAAAATACAATACTTACTCGTTCAGGGTAAGTGAGAATCTTCGCCATAGGTACTGGAACTGCTACCTAAACATATTAAAATGAAACAACATTCTTCCCTCGATCATTATACACAAAGTCACCTGGAGGGGCCTAAAACTCCAGAAAGAAACAAACGTCAAGCGTTGCAAGAGATGAACACTGCCTTGTGATGAAATAATACCTTAAACATAAACAGTATCAACTTCTAACTCATTTTAATACTTACTTGATCAATGTAAAGATTGGGATCAGGTGATATGACCGTGCGTCCGGAGTAATCAACTCTTTTACCAGACAGATTCCCTCGAAACTGACCCTGTTTTCCCTTCAGTCTTTGCACAAATCCTCTGGAGCCTTTCTCAGGCTAGTGAAATACGGTATAAAAAAGTAATATATTATGAGGCAGATCTCTGAAAGCTATTTGATACGTAACCTGTGCGATGGTGAAAGTGACGGACTGACGGACTGTCTGACTGAGAGACTGACTAAATGACTGGAGCCTTCTTGGGTTAGTGAAATACGGTCAAAAACAGTACATAAAATATATTTGGAGGCAGATCTCTGAAAGCTATATGATACTTAACCTGTTCGATGGTTAAAGTGACGGACGGACTGACTGACTGACTGACTGACTGACCAACTGATTGACTGACTAATTGGCTGACTGACCAACTGATTGACGGACTGACTGACTGACTGACCAAATGACTGACTGACTGACTGACTGACTGACCAAATGATTGACTTACTGACTGACAAAACGACCAACTGATGATAAGCATGACTTAGAGAAGAGCTACAGGACTGTCTGACTAACCCACACACCAGAGTGACTGAGTGACCATCCAACAGACCATCTAACTTAAAAAGTAACTTAACTCAGTTGATAAAAAACCAACTGAATGGCTGACTGATGCACCAACTACCATTTCAAACTAAGAAATCTTTGAAGTAGAATCTATAAAATCAAATCCACACCCACCTGCATACTAAGAGGAATCCCTGACATTTTACTGTTGATGTACAAAGCACATTGAAGCTGGAGAAAATCCCAGTCTTCCTGTGGATATCACCAAAACATATCTATGGTTCTAACTAAGAAATGTGTAAAGTCACAAAATAATATTCTCCACATCTGAAAAAAAAATAATAACTCAGGCAATTGAGTCCACATATCTGCCACATATTCTGTAGATTTTCTATCCAAGATCTTATATGTGATGAGGAGAATCTTAAAGTTAACTTTTGCTTCCACAGATAGCCAGTGCAGGCTTTTTAATAAAGGTGATATATAGTCAGAACTGAATGCTCCTGCTATCACGTGAGCCCAAAATTACTCCACACTCACCATTATCATCTGTACTTTAGCGCCTGTTACTCTGTGTTTACTAATAATATCATTGAGGGAAATGATATCTTCGAGCTTCCTGGTAAGATCATCTTCATAGCTATCAGTGACAGAGAAAAAAGAGAAATGATGTTTAGGCAAAATTTCTCCTGATCATTTTTTACCAATATATTTATGGACTGCTAGTCTTTCCTCAGATTACAGTTACCACCCAAAACTCTATCACAATCCCCCCAACTTTCCCTGACAGTTTGTCAGCACCAATTTAAACTCCTGGGTAGAGAGAGGCAATGCAAGAGTTAAGCATCTTTTGCAAGAACAGGTCACCCTTGCGAAATGGCTTTTGGAATTCCTAGGAATTCCTAGGATTTTCCTAGGAATTCCTAGGAATTTATTCTTAGGAATTCCTAGGAATAAAGGTGTGAATTTTCACGGTAAATTCGGACTGGGAATTCCTAGGAATTCCTAGGAATTCCCAACCATAACAACTCTGGTTCTAAAAACCTAGAAATTCCTAGAAATTCCCAGAAATTCCCAGAAATTCCAAGTTTATAGCCAACAGGACTTGGAATTCCTAGGAATTCCTAGGAATTCCTAGGAATTCCAACTCAGAGAACCAATGACTTTCCCTGAAAAGCTGTAAATCTAAAAAATTCCTAGGAATTTCTGGGAATTTCTGGGAATTTCTGGGAATTTTTGGGAATTTTCTGGGAATTTTTAGGAATGTTTAAGAATTACTGGGAATTTTAAGCAAAAATATGAGGCTAATGATATAAAATAGATACTTTAAATTAAAAAAACCCAGCTAAAATTCAAGTATTCAATGAAATTTATTTAGAAGCTTAATTAAGGCTTACATGTAAAATATTTTTGATTAATTATTAACATCAATGTGTGGTAATATTAGGATGGAATAAATATTCGATTTATTTTTCTTTTCTTGAAAACTTCATACGGATTAATCCTCAATTACAGCTATTCATATAAAATAGTTCTAATCAATCATTAAATTTGGTTTGACACAAATTGTGAATAAAATCTGTTGATTCTTTTCCATAAAACACAATATCTTAAGTTATATTTGAAAACCAAGCACTCTTGGGAGTGAAGGGGCTAATTACAGACATATAAAATTGATTTTTTGATTAAAATCTTGTTGTAACTGTAACAATAAATTAGAATGAAGTTATCCTAAACTGCAAACTTAGCTGCTGTTTGTACTGTTTGTATTTATTTTCCTAGGCTCACAATGAGTTGGCCTTGAATGAGGTTGTCAACAAGAACCTTGACCATTTTGTATCTGGATTCCTTGACATCTGAATTTGAAAAAAAATAATATATTAAAATATGTATATTTAAAGCTCAGACCAGGCTTTTAAGATGGCTATGAGGAAAAGGGCATTCATTGGATTCTCAAATTGAGAAATCTCTGTTATATTGAGTGACTTTTATATTGGAGTTAGTACATCTCTCTCATGGATTTTACTAAAAAAGGGCTGAATACATTATTTTGTTTTTACCAAGGAGGGCTTCTTTATGTACTAAGGTTTGTTTAATAACAGTTCCTATTATGAATCTTGAATGTTCCCAAACGTGACTAGAGGAATCTTGAAACCTTATACTGATAGGTTTATTTTATTGTAAAGCATAAGCTTAAGAAACTGCGGCATGCAAGTGACCGATTCGATTCTCAGAATTAGTCTAGTTTCAGTTGCGCCGAGCGTTATGTAAGCTTAATTCAACCCGCTACATCTATTCTTTTATAAGATTTTGATCACGTAACGAATATCGCAATTTTTACTCACCACAAACTTTCAAAATCGTAGCTTTACAGATGGCCACTCGACCCTTGTTTGTACCAGTCAATATGTCAACTGTTGTCCCTTCTTTTAGCTCCACGGCGCCAACGACTTTCTTTTCTTTTACAACACTCACGCTATTCTCGTTTTCCCATTGAACCTCAATAAAAGCTATCTTTAGAAATGTTATATTAAGCAAAACAGTTGAGAAAAGCGATCAACCGATGAAAAGTACATTCAAAGATGAGCGTCAAATGGAGTCTTCTTTGTTTCCGATCACGGGCATGATCACGTGGATCTTTTAGGACTTGTCATTGGCTAGCAAAGTGAATCCGCTGGCTTGCCGATTGCAGTGTTAAGAGAAGCGCTCAACTTTATTCTGACTTCTCCGACCGGTTCTCTGCCTTTAGAAGATGGATAGCTTGGTGATATAAATAAAGATGTGAGCTCACTCTATGTAGAAATAATCGACAAGAATCGATCGTATTACAAATGCACGATTTGTGGCCGAAAGTTGTCGAGGAAACAAAGACTCGAAACTCACTTGAGTTGTGTTAATGGCAAAGGTGAGAAATAACACAAGCCAATCACAGTTTTGAATGCGACTACAAATCGTCTTTCACCCTCATGTTTATAAAAGAAGGATACCACATTCGGAAGTATAAGAGATACATAGATGATCCCAGTGTACCAGTACCTAAATCTACAAAGCTTGACCGTAGCAAGCGTTCAGCAACACGTTCCAACACCGCCATCTCGATTCCTCAGTCAGTCGTTTTCACTGAACTTAAAGCAGTATTGACAACAGAGTAGAGTGCGTCTTACAAAGGAGAAACATTTGTACAAGAGACAGAAGTAGCTATATGCGATTACAGAGGTGTGTTGGAACTCTGGTCCACAAATAGTTATGCGCTGCCCGAAGTACAAAACAATTTTGTTGATAGCTGACAGACAGAGAAGAACAACAAGTAAACTTAAGAGCTGTTATTATTGGAGTGTGACAAGCACTTTTCATTTTTATATAAAGAAGGACTTGTAATTTGCACCAAAAATAAAAAGATGTAATATTTTTTTGGGAGATCCAGTGATTGGGACATTTAAGAAATTAAGTTATGAAAGGAAACTTGGTTGGTACTTCTCACTACTAACAAGTCTTGTTGACAAATATTTTCAGATCAGAGTTTCAAATAAAGTAAATTGAAGACGTCAAATAAAAGGTGTTTTTCCTCAAAGGGAACATTGACTACCTCTGTCTTGTCTGCATGCCAAATGTTTGCAAAGTGTGTGGATGATCCACAAGTATTGGAATATTTCCTACAAAAATGTTTTGTAAGAATAAAAACAGCAAAACAAATTACAGCAATTAGTCATGAAAAGAGAGCAAAAAACTGAAAAAAAAAAGCAGCAACAACAATCATGAAAAAAGAAAGATTAATTAGGTGTTGAATTTGTTTGTCTAAGGCATGAAATTTCTACTAAAAGTATTGTCAACAAAAAGTCTCTGACAGCGTTTGAGGCAACTGAGCTTGACTGTTCCAAGGTTTTCTAACAAAGGCAACCAGTAATGTAGGTTAGGGAAGTAAGATAACAATGTAATTATTGTTAATTATTGTGGAAGTTGGCAATTTCCATTTAACATAACTGACAGCTGGTTCATGAGAAAATCCATATTAATGTAAAGATTTACTAAAACTTAGTTTGAGTAATAAATTTCATGATCTTTAAGTTATAAACATGTACATGTATTTATATCTCTTGGTAAGTTTTGCATAGCATACCCTTTATTGAGCCAAAGTTTTAGGTCTCTGAAATTACTCTTTTTCTTAAAACCTTCACATTCAAGGTATTGAGAATTTCTTAGAATTTATGTGGACCTCAGGGTATTAAAATTGCCTCAAATTAAATTCCCAGAAATTCCCAAGAGTTCCACACTTCTTAAATTATAGGTAGTTTGTAAAGCTGAGAATTCCTAGGAATTCCTAGGGATTCCAAGTCCTCACAAAACTGGAGTCTTCCTTTCCCAGAAATTCCCAGTAATTCCAAGCTTTTTAAATCAGAGTTAATTTGCATAGTTGGGAATTTTTGAGAATTCCTAGGAATTCCTAGGAATTCCTAGGAATTCCCAGAAATTCCCAGAAAACTGGGAATTCAGTTTGCAAGGGTCATTTGCATAATTGGGAATTTTTGAGAATTCCTAGGAATTCCTAGGAATTCCCAGAAAACTGGGAATTCAGTTCGCAAGGGCACAATAAAGCAGCTACAGCTGCAACTGAAGTCATTCAATTGAGAGTCAATGTATTCACTTGGTCACCACATTTCCAGCAAAGAGAAACTTTCAAGAACCAGGCACAAAGACCCTGACTGAAAAAGGCACTTGACCACTCAGAAAGCTCAATCTGATGCCTCACAAATTAATATTAGCCATCAGGTAACCAAATGCATCACTGAATTACACACCTCTCACCAGGTACATCACTGATCACAGATGGTCTGATGCATACAGGTGGAACCAGCAACCGTGTCAAAATAAGATTCTCTGGTCTACCCAGCTCAGGTTTCATCCCCAATAAAGGGCAGTCCTGGAAATGATAACAAAAACACAGCAGTAATATAAAACAGTAATAAAAATGTACAATGTAACTATTAACGGGTAGGAGCTGTATAAGGAGAATGAGAGAAACTTTGCTTACACCACATTAGCCTTATTTTAATAGGCTTATGCCAAATGGTAATCCCTGAGAAATAAGCATTCTCTAGGCAGGGTGAGTAACTAATTTTGAAGCCTTTTTTTCCACTGAATGGTAATCACTTCAAAAGTGCTCCTTGTCACATTTCCCTTTGAATGGAACTGCTACATAGGTTCCTTTCAGTGAATTCATTTTTACCAAAATCAAATGACAATCACTTTTATACTAACCTGATCAGGGATTTGTTCAAATAGGGTGATAACCCTTAATGGATTCAGCACTTCCTGTTGAATGAAGAAAGAAATACAAAATCACCATAAATTTGCTCCGTAAAAAACTATGATAACCATAATCACTTTTCATTTTCTCACAATCATTTTCCAGTGATACAAGGTTGAATTTTCAGTCTAAAACAACTCTATAACTGCAATTTAACAAGCCTTTGTGCAAGAACCTTCAACTTTGGTTTCCAGGCACCTGTTTTTTAAGAGACCCGGTCAATTAACAAGCCCAAAAAGGTGAGTTATGTTTACCATGATTCATTCAAGACCAAGATATTGACAGTTTTGAAATGTGAAAAACAAAAGATATTATTAAAACCAAACAAAATGAACTGGTTCCTGAGCTAAACTCATAAACTCAGCCCCATATATTTCCTTAGAAGTGAATAGAATTCAATTACTTTGGTTCCATAACATGACCTAGGAATTTCAAGAAACAGGACCCAGGTTGTCATTAATTTTTGATACAAACTGGTGCTCTGCTCACAAAACTTTCCAGTTCTTTGTTATATTCTATGGCTGAGCCAAAGGATGCTTGAAACTCTGAGATAACAGGATCTATGTACTTCCTGGCTGATTTGTACTTTTCATGTACAATTTTCATGATTCCACTCTTTTGCACAAAACCTGACAAAGAACAAAACAAAGACACTGATCTATAGTTTTCTCAAATAAGCACCTTCCTCCCACCACCTTCCTCACCTTCTTAAAAAGTAAAAATACAAGGAAAAGCTTTTTTAGTTTCAACTATAGCCAAGCAGTAAAGGTTGAAAGTTTCTCAATGAACACCCCCCTTAATTAAGAGCCCTTCCTTTCAGCCAAAATTTTAAGCGTCTGGACCCTTATCCAAGGAAATACACTATCTAAGATAACTTCATTTCCATTTTTGCTAGCCACCCATCCATGAGGAGTCAAAGTAATGTTAGTCCTTAGCAATGAAACTGACAACAACTTCTCCTTCATCCTTTTTTCCTACTCACATTCACTGAGATATGCTTTCAAACACAAAATATCATTTAATAAGAAGGGTGATAGAATAGGAAAAGAACAGTGAAGATTATTCATTTAGAAGCCTCTTCCTGAAAGGAAAATAATTTTCTTGTCTAGTAATGGCTGGAAATAGCCCTAGTACACAAACACACATGGTTCAGTTAAAAGGATTTGCAGAGAGATATCTAAAAGTGAGTTACCATTGATTGCCTCACAGTATGGACAATGACATATCTTTTTGCACTTTTCCATAACTTTTTCCTTCAAGCTCTTCCTCATTAAAGATGAGACACCTGGTCTGCTTAGTTGATCAAGAAATTGTTTCTTTTCTTGAGGTGGTAATAGCACTCTGGAACATGTCTGGGTGAAAGGAAAAACTATTTACCATAAAGCAGTGACTTATTGCCTGAAGGTTAAAAAAAAATCTTGCAGACATTCTGACCCATTAACCCTTTGACCCCCAGGAGTGACTATCATCCAATTTCTCCTTACAATATCACCACTAAATCACACATCAAAGGTTGTGAGAGTAAAAGAAATGATCACCAACTAAAGAAGCTCTTGAACAAATTCTCCTTGTCAGCACCTCAGGAAATGTTTTCATAGCACAGAGTCATTAAGAGTACAGTTCCTCCCGAGCCTCCAGATATGAAATGCTAATCTACTGCAGCCAGCCCTAGGTATTTCATCAGGTTCCCTGCACCATAATCTGTACCTATTTATTCTCCTTAGCAGACAGTGGCATGGTTAGAGTTTACTAGCTTGCCCAAAGACACAGCACAACGGCCCCAGTTAGGCCACTCCCGTTCCTGTTGACACAAAGTTCAGCACCCTAGCCCTCTCCAGGCCTAAAAGGCTGGTACCTAAAATTACATGCTTTGTATAAGGTACGTGTGATTCATTCTCCAGCTCTTTAATTGCTACAACTCTGCATTTAAAAATCTCACTAACCCATATCCAAAAAGTTCTCACCTTACAAATGCATTTCAAAATGACAATTGTTGACCTGAAGAATCCAAAATGAAAGACTGGAAGTTCCAGATCAATGTGGCCATAGTGACCTACACAATCAGCCAATGGTTTGCCACATGTCTTACAGCTCCGATCTTTAGTGTTTGTGCCCTATGATTGTACACAATATCAATATCAATCAGTAATCAATACATCACAGATATGTCAAATTGAGTTAAGAGAAAAAAAGTGGCACTCAAGGTGCAGCAGCATGTCACCGATATTCCTATAACATTTTGAGATATTCTGCAACCTATTACTGGAAAGATACAGAGCAACATGGAATCTATTTGTTTAATTTAATAAAGATACAAAAGTTTTTAATGGTACCCTCGTTGATGCATCTGTCCTTCAACTGATCACAAGTACTAATCAAAGTGCTTATATAATTCAACTAATTATTTAAAAAGGTGATAAACATACAACAGTAATAAAAGGCAATTGCTTTGTTACCAAGTGTGAATCTAGTACCCCAAAAGGGACTGGGGTACAGCTTTGATCCTGTTCGTACAGGTTTTTGCTGATACAATGAACATGTGAGTATTGGTGCATTTGTTGTGGAGAAAATAGTCCGAAGGTGACATGGCTTCTGTAAAGAGGTAGATGATATGTTTAGTCACAAAATGAAACCAGATTTAATTGTTGCTTATACCTCACTACAACATACAACGAGGATTCTTAAATGCAAGTCACTGCCTCATGTGCATAACCTTTACCCTTTACCTCTCAAGATCTGATTGTTAATTCTCCTCTCTAGCTGTTACACGTTTCTTGTAAATTTGCGACAAAAATTTAATATTAGATCATGATAACAACATCTACAGTACCGCTCGCATATACGTTAACCGAAAAATGCGAATTAAACATGCTAAAAATCGCATGCAATTCAAATCAAGCAAATCTACTATTGCTCGTTATGCAAAAAATTCGCGAAGCAACGCGACTTGCCCAAGTGCTTTTTTTCATTATGTAAATTTTCCATTGTCTTCTCGTTGCTTTTTCAAGCCTTGAAGTCCTTTGTTTCATGCAACAATGAAATACAAAAGAAACTTATGGCACTGAATAACAAAGACACATGAATCGCGCAATTTTTTCGACCGTGTGCACAAAAAAATCGTATATACGCGTTTGACTACCCTGTATCAGAGCGCATGAAATTCATCTGCGCAGTTAACGTATATGCGAGCAGTATTGTATATGATAATTTTTAGTATTACCAATACCCAATTGCTGGATAATGCATGGATTAACCATTGTGGGAGAGGGGTCAATATACCTCCTCTGGGACAGATTGGAATCATTAAGATGAAATCTACACACAAACTAACTAACCCATACTTCTAAAAAGTTTATCTCAGTTACCCTGGTATATCAGGGGCATAGCCAGGATTTTTTAAAGGGGGGTCACTCTGTGTCAAACACAGGATACTCACCAGTTTTTGCTAACTGAATATTGTAGCTTAACACTAGGAAATCAAAACCCATGAAAATCTTGCGAAATTATTCATGGTAAATTTACAGATTTTTCACAAGATTTTCTTGGTTAAATCAATGGCATTTTCATGGTCTCAGTGCCATGAAAAAGACATGAAAAATCATATTAAAAAACCTGTGAAAATTTAATATTCACAACCTATGAAATATCGTGTAAGGTGAAATAGAAGCCATGAAATATCAATAAATGGCATTTCATGGCCTTTTCAAAGTACTGAAAAATCCACGAATTTCATGTCAAACAATTTCATGGTGTTAAAATTCACTAGTTTTGCATAGCAAATCACATCCAGGAATATCCTGAAAATATGTGAAAAATTCATTGACCATGAAAATTTTCCCTGAATTCTCAACTGAAGGCCTTTCCATTGTATTTTCATGGCACATGAAAGTTAATAGCCAGTAAGTTTTCATGGGGTTGTTAGGAATACGCAAGCATCATGAAAATTCCTCGGAAACCACATGAATTTGGAATGAAAAAGTCTTCATTTGACTTGTACCAAAGACTATACAACAGTGTATAGCTTTATGCTTGCAGTATACCATATCTGTAGTACATACACGATCACTTCAATCATACATTGAAGAACTAACCTTTCTGAGAAATTGCTTGGTACTGTTGTACAAGCACACTCACATGAAAGACATGACCAGAAGTCTGGATTCTCTGATAATTTATTTTGTTTATTTTATCTGACCGCTTAATTAGCTGAAGAGAGTCCATTTCGGCCAATTTCTAGGTTTTCAACATAGGACAAGCGCCCAATCCAAGAAGCGAAAAATTCAAGCTCAAAATGACTGGGCGGCCACAAATCCAACGCAGAATGCAGGCACATATATTTTAGTTTCATTTCAATTCACTCTAAACTCGATCTCCCCCGTTAAACCAACTCTACGCCGTAGTTGCTTCAAAAACGTTCACAAACGAAACCAGCTTGGTAACCCTGCCTCCTTTGTAAACTTTGCCCCAAATCCGGTCACATGTTGATTACACGGATAAAAAGCATCTTGAACATGATCATTTCGAAATGGCTTCAGAGCGGTCTCATCTCTGCCTTTGCAATCTATGCAAAGGAAACTCCCAGCCAACTACTAACAAAATAAAGCAGCACGAAAAGTTGTTCGGTGAATGAAATTCGAAGCGAGTAGCAATCAAAGGGCCGTTAGAGTCAAAGAAAATCAGAGCTGGTATGGACAGTGTTTCCTGCCAAAGTGACCACGAGATCGACAAAAATGTTGTAGAAGGCGATATCAATGAACACTTGACTGCGTTAACAGGGGACATTACGAAAGAGGTAAAAATGGCATGTTTTCAGGTTGCATTCACACACTGTTCAGAACTCCAAATTAAGGAGGGAAAGTGAACTGATTTTTCATCGTTCCGATCCACATTCCGGTAGGTTTATAAGAGAATGCTTGAAGAATGCATAGAAAGCTCCATCACTTTGGTCGAAAGAGATGAAAATGACGTATTAAAGTGACGAGGTAGGTGTATTTCAGATGTTTATTATGGTTTCACAATTTCTGTAGTAGGCGCCAACAAATAGGAAATTTTTGTAGTTACCGCTCCTCGAGTTCATAACAATTTTTTTTATGAACCAGTGTGGGAAACAAGAGAAAAGTTAGCTCGGCTAAAGTTTTCTTTTGGCGGCTGAATTTGCGAACACCTTGATTTTTTGACATGTCATCGGAAAGCGTGGTAGAGAACAATGGCGAGGGCAACGAGGACGTGGTAATACAAAAGATCTAATAAGCACAACAATGGCTCAGCAAGTACGTTCTAAAGCTGTGTACATTTCTGCGCAATCCTCTACAAAATGACAACGTGAAATCATCAAACTTTGCGTTCGGCAGTGTGTGCACTTCTATTGTGTTTCATCATGGTCGTAAACTAAAAAATAGGATATCTGCGTCCTGTTGCGGTCGAGTGAACATGTCTGTTTAATAAAACATAGGCATACTATGCATGCAAGAGTTATTTTCTAGGGGGTAGGTTAATTGAAACATTGAAAGTGATGTCTACATTTTTACAAAAGGAAAGAGTATTAACGCGGAAAAGAACGAAAATGTCGAATTAAGTCACACACAGGTATTTTGTAGTCGATTGTGATTGTTGTGCGAATAACTGTAACCAAAAATAAACTGTATTGGTGCCACGGATACTTGTAGACTAGGTACAAAATGCAGACTGCTGAGTGGGTACAAAATGTGGACTAAGAATTTAATGTGTTTTTCGTCTGGTATTTGATAACATGTCATCTTACAACTTACCGAGCGTCACGCAATCGCTTTTTCGCGATCAGCTTTCACGATTATTTGCACAATTGTGCAATATTCCTAGCCCTATTCTTGATCAAAATCGTTCTTAGTATAATTTCAAGCCTTCATAAAGTCTTTTCACGTTGAGCGCGAGTTGGTTGGTGTGATGTCTGTACAGATTTTATCAACCTAATAAAAGTAGATGTAGATAAGATGTCACTGTGGCAACACGCGCAATATTCGAGAAACAATTTGACAGCTTTGCACGTGGTTGTATTATCATCTTTTGAAGCGATACGTGTTTATTTTGTTGATAAAAATGCAGACCGAGACCAAAAATGTTCCTTCGACTTGATATATTTTCAAAGTTCGTAGATCACATCATATTGACTTACCAAGGTTACTAAGGTTACTTTGTACTTTCAATGCCCCAAAAAATGGAGAACTCGCTGGGCGGTTTAATCGATCATTTCTAATTTTGAATACAGTTTATCAACCAAAATATGCAAAAAAAAAAAAATCGTGTCATAGGCACTTTAACATACATTATGTATGGAAAATCTTGGTGTGACGTTGACTTCAAGTTGTTCGAAACTGAACGCCAGCGTGGAGCTCCACCAGTACCAGTCGCTTTCACAAAGGATGTTTTTTCTTTTCTAGACAGGATGTAGCCTGCAGAGCGGGCGTAATTCTTGGCGAGCGTAGATTATGGTCGCCTACGAACGGAGTTCCCGATTGGTGCGGTTAAGCTCCAGCGGTCGATTACAAGTTAAATGTGACATTTCAGCGTCATCCTTGCGAGAGAAATAGAAAGATGGCAAGTTATTAGTTTCGATTCTGCTCTCGAGGAAGCATTCAAGTGTCTTTCGGAATTTAATGTGTCTTGCCCATTAAAATCGGAACAAAAAGAAGAAATTTCTACACTGGTTTCTGGAAGGATTTACCGGCCGTGTTGCCACCTGGCTTTTGGAAAAGCCTGATACCTCAGGTGTTGGTTCTTGAGATAGAAATTATGACGGGAAACCTTTGAACGTAGTTGTCGTTTGTGCGCTTCAACGTGTTGTTTATGATCAAATGGAATGAGCATCTTCGATCGAATTAACGGTAGTTTACGCTTACGGATTGTCATTTGGAGGATATAGAGTGCAACAAATATCAATTCTTATTTTCGTCAGCCGTGAGCGCTTTGGTCTGTAGCGGTAAACCTTCGAGTGCAGTTGTTTGTTGCTTCAAAGTATCGTTTACGATCAAGTGGAAGAAAAAAGAAGAATTGTCAACTAGACTCAGGGGTGGATCCAGGGTTGTTTACCTGATTTCCGGAACTCACTCAAATTTTTTCCGACCTAGTTAAATGTTGATAAAAGTACTTTTGGAAAACACTCTAATTTCCCTTTGGAAACTACTGATACTTTTGTGGAAATCACTAAACGTCTTCCAGAAATAAACCATCTTCCTGTTTTACAGTTATTTATTAAAGAAAATACGTTTAGAATGACTAATTTCGTTATAATTGCGGTCATGAGGCGTTCGGGAGCGCTCCGGATCACGCGCTGGCCTTTCGAGCTTCGATTACACCTCGGAAACCGTCGGAAGCCGTCGGAAAATGTTCGTGGAGCCAATCTTTACGCAACCGGTTGGTGTAAGTCCTTGTTATTTGGTGACAATAACAGGCGGAACACAGTCAAAACCCCTCACGATTGGCTAGCAAAGATTTCGTCATCGGAACTCACTCAAAACACTCTTCTGATTGGCTAGTTGTGTTTGGAAACTACCTTGGAAACTACTGACAAAGTATAAAAAGGGCAGTTCCTCCCCCAGCGGGTCTCTTTCGTTGCTCCTACAATACAAGTACTTTTGAACTTGCTCAGGGGTTAACGACGGAATTTACTGTTAAACGTTTAAAAAATACTAGTGTTATGACTCGCGGAGATCCTGTTTGTCGGAGGGAGGATTGTTCTCCCTTCGACATTGGCCTAGTTTTCGACGAGATCCACAACTACTCGCCGCATCAGAAGCTGGAGTTCGTCGAAAACGTGTGGAAACCAGGTGAGCTTTTTGATTTCCCCGTGTCAATAGAAAATGGAAAATCTCGTAAGTTTGTCTCGGGCTGGCTGAAAAGATTTCCATGGCTAGCTTACTCCAAATATTTCGATGGAGCATTTTGTTTAGCTTGTGTTTGTTTTGGAGTTCAGTGTGGGCGAAACGCTAATAAGTTAGACAAATTAAGGATAGCCCAGAGACAAATGCATAGAAATAATGCTCCTGCTGCAACTCCTGAGGGATATTTCAAGATCAATCTCACTAGAGTTTTTCTTGACCATGTACTCCAGCAGCTCAACACCAGATTCCAGGATGATGTATTTGTTTGCTATAAAGGTATTTCGATTATTCCCTCTGTTTTACTAGCTACTGACCCTGCCTGGAAGGCCAATGTTTTGGAATTTTGTAACCATTACAGACAGGACATACCAAATTATGCAGGATTACAGGCAGAGCTTTTGTTATGGGAGAGATTGTGGAAGGGGAGGGATAACAGAGGAGATATTATTCCTGACAGTTTGGAGGCTACACTGAAGGATATTGACAAAGATGCATATGTCAACATCTATTCCATGCTGAAAGTCCTGATCACAATTCCAATTTCATCTGCATCTTGTGAGAGATCCATATCATCCCTTCGGAATCTTAAGAACTATTTGAGAAATACAATGACCCAGGACAGACTGAATGGATTGGCACTGATGCATGCCCACAGAGACATGGATTTTGACCTTGAACGTATAATAGATTTATTTGCTGAGTTACATCCTAGGAGAATGAGAATGGCAAACATTTTGTAATAATTTTTTGCACCAGCTGTTTCTAGAGTACTTGTGAGTTATGTTCTGTCTGGGTTATGGCCTTTAAGTCTCATAATCCTTAAACTGATGGAGAACAGTACAGAAGCTCAAACTGGTGCCTGTATAACTTTTTTCAACTCATTTCAAGGTTATTTTCTATTTTGTTTTACTTGTGATGATTTTCCATTGACATTGACATTGGGTTTTCATGTTAAGCTTAAATGGTTAACAAACATTTTCACTGAACTCAACCAGCTTCACAGCAATTCCCAAGGATGAAGAAAGGCTAGTATTATTTCAAATTATCATTTTACTTCAATTTGTATATCATTTTATGATTCTTATAATTTATATTTTTCTAATAATTGTTTTATTTTTTGAATTCCAGCTCCCAACACAGGCTAACCATCCATAAAGCCCTTCTCTCTCTCTCAAATTCTTTTCTGTGTTGTGCTCCTATAAATGAAATGAATAAAAGCCAGCTCAGGAAATGTTGTTTTTAGTGTTGCTAAACATTTGGATTTATTGAGCCTGGCTTTCATTCATTTCATTCATTATAGGAGCACAACACAGAAGAAATTTGAGAGAGAGAAGCGCTTTATGGATGGTAAGCCTGTGGTCCCAAGGATGAAAAAGGCAAGTAGATTTTTATTATCAATCTTTAAACTATATCATCAATTGTGCTTGTTTTTCTTTTGTTATCAAAAACACTAACACTTGGTTCGTTTTTTTCTCCACATCTTGATTTTCCTGACTGGGAGGTGATGTTTTCCAGTGTGAAAAGTCTTGGTGATGACTTGGCCTTCCTGAAAACACTATATACACTGGTTTGCACAGTAGCTAAAGGTGGAATATTTGTAGATCAGAGTGTTTCCTGTAGTACTTTCAAGAAAAATAAATGTTTTTTGCCTTTTTGATTACATGCTTTTTTAGTCTTTTGGGGGCAATTAAATTTTCTAAAAATGCATGAAATGGCCTTTAGAGAGCTCCAAATTTCAAATTTTCTCGGGGGGGGGGGGGCATGCCCCCGAACCCCCCTAGCAGGAGTGGGTCCTCGGGTGGAAACTACTCACTCAAAATCCTGGATCCACCCCTGAGACTAACGGCAGCTTTACTCAAGGATTTTTGTTTAGAAAAATAGAGTGCAGTAATTATCAGTTTATATTTGTGACCGCTGAGAAGGCTTTGTCGAAGCCATTTCTTTTCTGGCTAAAAACCAAACTACCTCACCGTTTCGTGTGTTTGTTTTTTGTCGGAAGACGGTACTTCCGGTCTTCCTCTGTCCCCTACCCCCACCGTCCACTGTAAATCCAATCAAGTATGGCTGACAAATGCGCGATGTAAACAAATCATGGAAATAACATGAAAAACGAGCCCTAAGATGAGGGATTCGCCCGGGTCCGAGATTATGACACCTTCTTGATTTATTAGCTTCATTTGAAAATACATTTTTCTGAGTAACTCGAGTGCTTTTATATGTGTCAGATTACAGGAATATGATGATGGTGAAATTGATATATCAGATATCCCTAAGTTTAGAGAAAGTTTGTCAATTGAATCACTGCCAGGTATCCAGGAAGCGATATCTGAAAGCCCTCTCCTCTTCGAGGGGTTAGAGTGCACACTTTTTGAGGCCCTTGTAATGCTCTTTGACTGGTTATTTTCATCACACCCTTCCCTGAGTAAAGAGGCTTTTACCAGGGATTTACTTTTGTGCATTCCATCCTTACTGAATGGAATTGTCTTCACAGTGCATACAAAGAAGCATACACGGTAATTTAGCCCTACTTAGTTTCAGAGGTGGTGCTGCATGCCTGCCAAAATGACTGTATTCTGTTTAGAAGGAGAATTTGAAAAAAGAGTGTGTCCGGCCCCAGGTACCATCCGCCTCGCTATAAGGCAGGCAAAGCCACAAATAACATTTCATTATTTACCTCTTGGGCCACATCTAGCACAAAGTTTTGGTGCCAAAGATATAACTCACCTGCTTCAAAGTCGTGGAGGGGAATGTCCATCTACAGAAATGGCTGGAATCATGAACAACATTCATGATTCACCAAAGAGGAAGAAGCAGTTCCATGAGAGTGGTTCACTTCATGGGGATCCATGAGGCTTTGCCCTGTTTTTGTGCCTAGATGGGCTTAACCCTTGGAGTAAAAACAAGGACGGATATCCAACGTGGCCAGTTGTTCTGGGCCAACTCAAATCTTCCAAGGAGCATCAGGTACCAATTTGAAAATTTACACTACTGCTTGTGGGAATAATTCCTAGCCGGAAAAATGAAGGTGAGCCAAAAGATCTTAATCTTTATTTGGAATTGCTGGGGGAGGAACTGATTTCATTATGTGAATGGAAAATATATGATGACTACCAGAAAGCCCCATTTCATTTGAAAGTCAAGATCTTGGTTTGTGTTCTCCACTATCAAGGCCTTGGAAAGCTTTTCTCCCTCACAGCCACTAGATAATATAGGGGTTATGCATGGTGTCTACTGAAAGGGCAATACTGCCAACACTTGCATTAAGAGGTGTAACCTGTTAATAGATGATTTTTGCCAGTGGATCAGGCACTAAGGGCAGATACTGAAGATATTCCAGACCATTCTATTGAAGAGAGAATCAGGCCATCTTATTGCACCTTCAAACAAGATATGTTTTTCCACAAGGCTTATGATGGGGGCAAAGAATAATTCCAGGCCAGCAAGCTAGCAGCTGGTACAAGCTGTCCTGGCTCTTATGTGCTTGCTCAAAAGCTTCCTTCGTTTGATCATGTTGAAAAGAGTATTCCAGATGCAATGCATACTATTACTATTCAACTTAAGCATATGTGTAGGTGCCTTACTTGAAAAGCCTCAGAAGATTCCTCAGTTGTAAGAATGCAAGAGAAGGCCTTGAACAGGTTTCCAAAATCATGGCTAACAATCAAAGCCAGTAGTGAGGCAAAAAAAGAAAATTCAACAAAGTCATCCAGGCATGGCAAAGCCATAAAGGCACCAAAAGCTCAAGTAAGGATCATACATCTGGGTCACTGCCTTCAGCCCCATTTGACTTAATAAAGGAGCAAATTAAAGAGGCTGATTGAAGGGCAAAAGAAGTTGTTACAATGGAGACCTCAAGGAGGCAAGTGGGAAGCACAGGCTGAAGAGGTGTTAACCCTTTCACTCCTAAGATCTAATTTGTAACTATCCTTACTATTTGCCATACAATTCTTATGATGTTAGTTCAGAGAATTTGGTATTGGATCAACTGATAATCCCATAATTGATATTCTTCTCTATTCTCATCACCTACCTGCTTGATATTGTATTGATATTGTAAGGAGAAATTCTGTCTTGGTCACTTGTGGGAGTGAAAGGGTCAACTGCTCTCCACACAGGCCTTCAATCCACCGTTGTAGTGTTTTTGCACTTACTTAATGGACTATGAATTTATCAATGAAATTCATAGACCACAAGTTTGATATACCCATGTATGGATTTCAGGGAATATTCATGGCCCATTAACTTTTTTTCTCCTAAGACAAATGTCTTGTAAGCCCATGAAATTCTGTTTGATGGCAATTCATTGGGCATGAAAGCAGACTTAAAAGAAATTCATGGGTCATAGAAAAAATCCCCCTAATTCTTGGAAAATTCAGGGCTTAAAACCACCCCATGAAATTTCCTGTTGCAGTATTTTCTTCCCTGCAGGGAAAGCTGTTCAAATGCAGTAGGGGACAGTTTGCAGATCCCTACTTCCATAATCTCTCCTTGAAATAAAACTAGTCTTTTTCTTTACGTAGCTGCTAAACTGGGTTGTCACATTATCATACAACACACGTGCACATAACGATGATAACTTAAAAACATCAGTACACCAAAACAGCTGATCAAAAATAAGTCGGATAAGACATTATTGAAACACAACGACAAATTAATCATTCCTACATTTTCTTGTTGGCTCCAGACTCTTTAAACTGCTCTTTCGCCATGATAGAGCAATTTTTTGAAAAGTATTTCTTGGAACGTCTTTGTCTACTAGCGGTTAAATACAGGAATAGCTCCAACCTGTAATTTGATGATAAAAATTGTAAAAGTTGATAAGAAATATCTTAATTCCTTACTCGTAAATGATGTTTAGGCCTGTGTCTCGAAGCAGAACAGGAGATATCAGTGTGAAAACACCGACGAGTCAAACCGGAAATGGCTACTTACACAACAAAGAGGAAGAAGTCTTTCTATTCCAGCGATGAACAAGTCATCCACTGACTAGCTCCGCTAACGAAAGTCTTTAAAATCAAAGAATAACGTAGTCTATAGCTATACCGAGGTTGTTCCCCTCCGACAAGTTTAAGCGAAAGCAAGGGAACCTCGCCTCCGTTTCACCTTGCCGGGGGAGGGTGCGGCTAGACGTAAGCTAAGACTGGATTTTACTGCTGTCAAGAATGGCTCCAACTCATGCATATATGAATTTGTTTGTTTTTTCTTATGATGAACCCTACAATGCTTGTAAATGAAGCCCTCTCTTACTACCAGAGGGCATGTAGTTTCTAAGTTTTAAAATAATGCAGCAACTGCATGTCACGTTTGGAAAATCACGCAATGTTACGTGACGCTGCGACAGACATTTTTAATTTGCAGTATGCTCTGCTGCATAAATGTGGCTTGGCCGCAATCAAGGGAGTTTTTTTATTATTATTTTGTGGAAAACTGATTTTCTGGAATAATTGTTCACATGAACGACAAATCCATTCATCAGGCTTCTCATCTATTTTTGCACAACGCCTAAAGAAAGAAAGTCGCGGATTACTTTAATTTTGCTTGGTAATTTCTAACAACTCCACTAGACCTGAAAAAGGAAAAAAAACAAAACAAAAGAAAAAAGAAAAAACGTCTTACCAGTCAAACCAGTAGCAATAACTCTTGCACTGAACCTTGTCGAAGTACCTTGATTGTGTGCAGTGATGGCACAACCAATCTTCGGACAGTTTTTCGGCTATAACGAGAAAGAGTAAAATGAATTTTTTCCAAAATTAATGAGGGCCGTTCACATGACGCTGTTTTGGAACGTGTGTATCTCGTTTGCTATTGTATCACACTACTATTTTAGACAATGTATTTATACCACTTAAATTTAAGAAAGAATGAGTAGAACATAAACCGCGTTTTCTATAAAGTACACGAGCCACCTTACCCAATTTGCTAACTGCTCTAAAGGCATCATCTGTAAAAACCTCTTCAATTTTTCAAATTTGAAAATTTTTAGCTAAAACCGTGGCTCCCAAAATATATTTCTCACCTTACCTAAAAAATTTTAGGTAGGTCCGGCCAAGCCTTTAAGGTCATTTGCCCCCGTATAGCCGCTAAAGATGGGTTATAAATGCAGGCTTTTAGTGTTAATTAGTAAAACTCCCTGAAGAAGTCTAACAGTTAGACGAAACGTGTCGGAGAATAAAGAAGTTTACTACTACTATTCGCAGAGCGCTGCTCACTAGGTTAGTTTGAAAATTTTTACTTTTTTAAAATTTTTTTTCTAAATTGCTAAAAAAATAATTAAAAAATTATTAAAAAGTTATTGAAAAAGAAAGCTAATAAACGCACGAGTCGGAAC